ATTTTTCTCCCAAAATCTACCCATCCTCTAAATTTCTATTCAGGACACCACCATTCTTCCAGTCACTTAGGTTCACAAAATTAATATTATCATTGACTCCTAACTTTCTTTTACCCCATATATCTACTCAGTTGCTAATTTTTTTTTCTCCTGTATCCACCTCTTCCATCTGACTCCTTCTCTCTACTCAACCACTAGTCTAGTGAAGGTCATCACTTCTTGCCTGGACTATTACAAATAGTCTCCAAATGGATCTCTTAAGTCTCTCCTCTCCATTATCCACATAGTTGCTAAAGTGATTTTCCTAAAGTAAAGGTCTTGAATACATCATTCCCCCTAATCAAGAAAATGCAGCAGCTCTCTATGAACTCCATGATCAAGTAAATACTCTATCATCTTTATCTTATCCTTTTTTAATATAGATTTTTGTGTAAGTTTTATTGGGATAGGGACTGTACTTATGATTTCATCAACATGAGGAAATCCCATATGAAGAGACTCCCTCTATCAGAGTGTAGGTTGTCCACCTTCTCTGCAAATTGCAGTTTCAGGCATCTAAAGTTTTGAGGGATTAAGGTGCTTGTCTAGGTTCACATAGCTTATATGTAACGGAAGAGAGATTTGTCCCCATGTCTTCTGGACTCTAAGACCAGGTCTCTATGGCACTTTACTACGCTGCTTCTTGTAAGATTTATAATGTGCATGACTATTATTCTAATAGTGTGTGCATGGAATTTATAACTAAGTAAATGTACATATATTGGAGAATATATTTTAATTTTTTTAAATGATAAGGATATGCTGTTAAAAAAGTTTAGGGACCACTAGTTTAAAACAGTAGAATAATGTGCATAGTATAAGAAGCCCTAAGCAATAAATAGAATAAAGAAACCTGTGGTCCATGTCAGCTAACATTCAATCTAACTTCTACCAAGGGCTTAAATAGCATAGGATCATATCTCTCTCTGTGTTTTCAGAAAATGCAATATCAAGTGGAATGAGACAGAAAATACATTTTTAATAATGTTGATTTGGTGGTGGTGGTGGGGAAATTAAATTCTATTTTTTTCCTTTGGAATATTCCAAATTTTCAGTGATACAGGCTTATAATGAGTTCCCTGGAATAACTATGCTAATTTATTAACTATAGAGTTTTATTAATTTTCATCTTATATTATACTACCTAATAATTTGTTCATTTTCTACTTATTCCTGGTGTCTGGCTTCTGTTCTGTTTTAAGTCATCTTTTAAAAAAAAAGAAGCTATTCTTTTAATGATGGTTTTTGGTCACATTAACGGCAGGGAAGATTGTTATTCATTTGCAGGAAGGAACTTGATCATTCTTGGGTTCCAATTAGGGGATGCCTTAGGGCCCTCTAGGGCTAAACACAAATCGTATCACAACCTAGTAGATCATTTAATATTTCTGTAGAAAAATTGTGAGGCTTAAGCATTTTAAGTTGAAATATGTGAACCTTATTCCTTATGTTTAAACTGTAACCCCAATTCCATTCTAATTGCATTTCCCAATGTTAATAATCTTGGCTACCTTGAAGATTTTGTCATACATAGAACAATGAAAAGTTCTGCTGTAATTAGCTTGAACACTGATTTTTACTATGGAATTTCTGTGATAATTTTCTTCAGTTTTTCTGTGCTGTTTTTTTTCCCAACAGAAAAGAGACACAAACATGCATACACACCTATTCACTTTTTTTTTTTAATAGTAAGGGAATGGACTTTTAAAAAATACCATATGGAAAGCCAATCTGAATCTTCATCCTAGATGCAATGTGGCATAATGGGAAAAGCAGTGGAATTGGAATGCATTTATGTGTCAGCTCTGTTACTACCTGTGTGAACTTTGGGAAACTATAAAACATTTCTGAGCTTCAACTTCTCTAAAAGTGGAGGCGGGCAATGATTTTCTATCACTATAGTAGATCTCTGAACTATTTCATTAACATGAGTACTCCTTTCACCTGTGTAGATGGCATACTATACCCACTTTCTTATCCATTACAACTAGTTTCCATGTCTCTCTAAAGTTTCCATGGAGTACCTTACCAAATTGATGGATGCCTTCCTCTGGGGTTCTTTTAATATTTCATGAATAGCAGTGTAGCATTCAGGCTTTAAATCTGTTATTCTTCATTTTTTCTACATGACTAGCCCACTAGCTCTTCTGGTCATGCCTGTCCTTAGTGATAGCCTGTCATACCATTTTTCATGTGCAAATCATTGATGGAAGTGTGCTGCAGCCTACTTAGGCACTATGAAATCAGGGTTGTTTTAATCAATCAACAAATTTTTATTTAGTGACTAGCAAGTGTTAGGCACTGTGCTAGGAACTGAGGGTACAAATAAAGAAATCTAATGTGATCATATGAAAAATGCATTATAATTTGGAAATTACTTTACAAATGTAACGTTATGAGAGAAGGATGAAAAATGGAACAAGAAGACATGGTCTACATTGTGTACAGTAGCTATAGATGCAAGGAATCTTAGGAAGTGACCTTAGTTTGTAAAGAACTGTAGAAGTCAAACATGGTTTGATATTTTCTTACAAGTATTTATAATTATTCAGAGTATAAGATATCTATCTACCTATCTTTCTAGATATATCTATATATACACAAATGTGTATATATATATATATGTATATATATATTTCAAATTATCTCACTGTAATTGTGTGAATGTATTTGTGGTGACATATGTGGATATATATATATAGGTAGGTAAAAGTGATGAACTTTTACTAAATGATCCTTATAGCCCTTTCCAGTTTCAGATATTTTTGTGGAACTATGATTTTTAAGTATTTTTACTCTATTTAAACTGTTCAGTGTAGCAGCCTTAAAATTTTAGAATGTAAAAGGTGATTATTAAATAAGGGATATGAGAGAGGCTTAGAGGTATTAATGGTTTGAGACTCTGACTCTAAATAAAATGAATGTGAGTTATTTGTACAATGGGATTATCTTAAAGAGCTTTCCCCAAACTTAGCTTTCTATAGAATGAATGCCTTCATTTGGGATTTTGTAGTATGTCCACTTATTCAGACATTGCATGGATGTAATGATAAAAATGTGCATACTCTGTCCCATTTTCTCTCATTTTCTTTACCACATGCTTCCCTTCCTCTAGCTGTACTCTTATTTAATCACCTTTTCTAATATCTAATAAAAATTCCAGCCTTCTATTTGGCTCATTAATTCTTACTTTTATTTGTAGTTTGCCTTCCCCTTTCTAAAATCTTGTGAGAAAAAAAATGTTTTTTTTCTTTTACCTTGGGAAAGGCATGATATTACACATAGGGATACATATACATTCTATATAATGTCTGTGATTGGTGGAATACATGCCTGTATACATATATATATATATGTAAACATTTTGTATAATATTGTTTGCTAGGTGGTGTATATATACAGATATGTATTTATTCAAATATGTTCTATATGCATGGTAGATATGTATAAATACACATATATGTGTACATGTACATCTTTCTGTACACAAAGATATGCATTATACACACATATATAAATATATTTCATGTACACATTCAGCCAATTAAGCCCTCTGTAACTTTTTTTATAATATATGATATACATTTAATACTTTCTTACCATATAACAGGTAAGACCATGAGCATATCCTTGAAGGAACACTATATCCTGTAGGACATATTATAACAGGGCTTCATTAGAGCACAACTTCTCTGGACAACAAATTCACTATCTTATGAAAATTTTAACTTGTAAAATAGAACTAGACAAATATTGATTTTTGCCTTATGTTTTTTAGTAAATTAATTAGTTCAAGTTAACAAGCATCCACTAAATGCTCATTCTGTATCAGGTATTGTGCTAAATACAAGGAATAGAAAGAAATGTAAAAATAGTCTCTGCCCTCAAGGAGATCACATTTTAATGGGAGAGACAACATGCAAACAACTATGTACATGTAAGATAAAGGCACAGTAAATGTGAGGCAATCCCAGAAGGAAGCCAGTGAGGGGGACAAGGAAAGACTTCTTGAAGAAGGGAGGATTTTATCAGAGACTTGAGGGAAGCCTGGGAAGCCAGACAGAACAAACAAGGAGAGAGAGTGCTTCAGGAATGGCAAACAGCCAGTGAAGAGGCAGGAAGTTGGAAGGGATGTGTGTTTGAGAAACAGTAAGTCCAACATAGCTGAATTGTAGTGTATATAGAAGAGAGTAAAGTATAAGAAGACTGAGAAATGCAAGATTGTGAGAGGTTTCAAAAACCTAGTTTATATTTTATTCTGGAGATAATTAGGAGCCACTGTAATTGATCAAATAAAGGGATAATAGGGTCAGATTTGCACTTTAGGAAGATAATTATGGCAGCTGAGTGGAAGAATAAATGAAGTTAGGATAGATTTAAGGAAGGGAGACAAACCAGAAGGCCATTGCACTATTGCCAGTAATGGAAATAATGATGGCCTGCACCAGAATGGTGATTGTGTCTGAGAAGAGAAGACAACATATATCTGTGGTGAAAGTGGAAATAATGAGGTATAGCAATCGATTAGACATGTGGGATGAATTCAGGTTAGGAGTTGGGAATGATACTGCAGTTCTGAGTGTGGGAGACTGGGAGGATGTGGTGGTGACTCAGCAATAATAGAGAATATTAGAATAGAGAATTAGAAAATGAGAGGGTTTGGGGAAAATATAATGAGTTTTGTTTTGGACATGTTGAGTTTAATATGTATATGGAGTGTCCAGGTTCAAATTCATTTCATTTTTAACAGTTCTCTTTGTTACTACTAAACTCACAATCAGTAGTCATGTATGTTAGGCTTTTTTATACCCTTTAATAACTAGTGTAGGATGTGCAAAATCTGTCATCTATCTATCTATCTATCTATGTCTATCTATCTGTCTATCTACAGATGTGTATATAAGAATATAAAACCACATTTTCTTAATTCTGACATATCTGTATACGTTTGTATCCCACAGGCCAGAACCAGTTTTGTGGACAAAGGATGGTGGAGAATTACCAGACCCAGATCGAATGGTTGTGAGTGGTAGGGAGCTAAATATTATTTTCCTAAACAAAACGGATAATGGTACATATCGATGTGAAGCAACAAACACTATTGGCCAAAGCAGTGCAGAATATGTCCTGATTGTGCATGGTGAGTACACATTTGAATTATTTATAAGTGAAGATACAGAATGGAATTATAAATTATATATACTTTATTTAAAGTACAACTTAACTGTTATCAAAAAATAAAAGAAAAAAGTCAAAGAAGCAATAATTATTTCTGGAGAGCATTCTTTCCAAAAAAAAGTTTGTTTTAATTTTATTAGTTGGATTAAGGAGTCATTTTGCTATATATCTCTGTACTATAAATATAAGATCATATAGTTCTTATTAAGCATGATGAAAATTGTATTTCCAGTGGATTATATGTGGTCATTTCTCCATGTTTATTCTTTTTTTTATTTAAGTTTCTAGTGGAATTAATATTGTGTTATTGATGTAATGATGACAGAGGCATACGCAGTTAATAAGAAATGCTTTAATTTCACATGAATGTCATGTTAGATACTCCTCCAAATGTGAACTGAAAATCTATTCTTTCTGTTCTGTCTGAGGCAGCATTGCTGTAAATGTAGAACACTATAGCAGTCACTAGGCAAATGCTAAAGGAAAGAGAATTTTACATCTTCCATGCACAAAAACCAATTCCAGGGATTGCCCTGTATATCATTATACCTTTAAAGGATTCACTAAATCCCCAAAATGTTCAGAAATACTATGTTCATACTGCATAATGCAACCAGAAACATAATGGATGTATTTTTTTTTGTCTTCTGGGTAATGCATTTTAGTGAGGAGAACACTGAACTTGCCAGAGCACGAAGATTCAAGCTCTGTTGCAGTCACCTATCAGCATGTCACTTTACCTTTCTGTGCCTCAGTTTCAGATGAAGGCATTAGATTAGATAAACTTTAAGGTCTTTCTGGCTCTAGCATTCTATGAACCTGTGATTCTATAACTGGTCGGTGGGTCTAAGTTTTCTACAAAGCTGGGTTGCCCAGAACTAAAACGTTCTTTCAAAAATAAATTTTAATATGATATGGGCAGGTTCTTGCACATATATGACTTTGTTCCAGTAAGCATCAAAACTTGGAGAATGTCATGCATAGTGCAAATTCCCATTTCCTGGGCACTCTTGCATTTCCACTTGTTAATTAACTAATTAATCTAGTGGAACTAGGTTTATACACCTTAAGGCCTTCACTTCCCATTCATGTCTTAAGAACTAAATGATGCTATACAATGGGGCACTAGAGTATTCTTCATTTTTATTTTGGCCCACCAGCTATCACAAGTCATAGGTAGAACACAGTTGTTGTATGTACCCTTAACTTTTAAATGCTCCCTTTACTTAATAGCTATTCGTTGGGGAATATGGGGCATGTTATGTAGCATGTCACAGTGCTGTGAAAGCAATATGCCACAGAAATATAGAGTTAAAAGGGAACTGACAGGAATACAATATAGTTTTGTGAAAAGTATGCCATCTATTTTTTTTAGTAAGTAATTCAAGTGGAGAAAATGTATATGTTTTTCTAGTGTTTGCAAGCTGGCCAGCAGCGTGATTCCCTAAATAGCCAAGTTACCTTTAGGTAGTTTGGCAGTTGACATATTTCTAATAAATACTTCTGTAAGCCCTTTGTATGTAGTCATTTTTGGCTTTGCTTTTTGATCCACAATTCATCAAAAGCACCCCATGGATTAATGTTATTCATGCTGCTAGATCAATGGTGTGAAGTTCAACAGTAGTTTACCTATGATTATTGACACAAGTAATGAGAGGCTCATTGAAACACTGAGACCATATTACAGTGTGTTTGAAAAAAAGACTTCATTTAGGTTCATTTCAAAATAAAGTTTTCCCCTTTGCACACTAGGTATAATGTTTCATTAGATACTAGTTGTATAAATATGAAACACTATTCTCTCCTGTTAATGGTTTAGCCATTTCAAACCCCGACTAAATGTTGAAATTTGAGTGGCATTTCAATCTATAATGAATGCTGTGTGCATTTTGGAATGGAGTGATAAGTGATCATTTGTGAGAACTTTACCCTTTTTTATCTTTTACACCAAGGTTGCTTTTGCATTAGCTGTGATAATTTAATATACCTCCAGCATAGAGGGTTATTTCATGAGCTGATACCCTGTGTCTTTTACATTCATGCAGTTGCCCAGGCCCTATCGATTCTTAACTTGATGGAGGTCTACGCATTTTCCTGTAAAACTGTCTGTTATCTAGAGTCATTCTGTTGGTGAGGTTTTATTCTTTGGGTGTCAATGGTAGTGCATCAAAATGTTATCACATTTAATTGTAACATGGCTGGCATTTAGGGTTACAAATGCTGCAGTAAATCCTAATTATGCCTTTGCAAATTCAGCATTGCAACCACAGCTCACAATTTGAAACTAATTTAAAATTTGCTTCCAGGGAAAAACCTTATGAAAGTCAGAGTGCAAATTCCTCTACCTCGATATTCAGACACTTATAAAACATTCTTATTGTAGAGTTTGGACTTGGTGAAAAATCTTGGAAATTCTGTACTTTGACCAACGTTATTTATTAGTGAATCAGGTGATCCAAAGGTGAATTTGGGAAAGTTCCTTCTAATGTTAGCATAAACTAAGGAACTTTGCATCAATCCAGGAATTTCCTGAAGAAGATTCAGGTAGTTATTTTTAATTTAATCTATAAGTATTTTATACTGAATCATTTTGTCCTTTCTATCTCTTTGTTACAATGATAGGGGGATCAAGGAATATGTTTGTCTATTTATATGGGGGAAGAGGAAGGGAATAAGCATTTATATAGTGGTTACTATGTTCTAGGCACAATGTTAAGTGTTTTACAAGTATTAACTCATTTGATCCTTACAACAACTCTGGAAAGTAGATACTTTTATTATCCCCATTTTACAATTGAGGAAAATGAGACAAACGGAGGTTAAATGATTTGTCCAAAGTCACATAGCTACCAATTGTCTGAAGCTAGGTTTAAACTTGGGTCTTCCTGACTCAAGACTCTATCCATTGTGCCACCTATATCCTTTGTTTCATTCCTATTCTGAATTTTTGGGAAATCTTTAATAGAGAAATGGAGCTACATAGAAGTTCTTTCAGGCATCTGGCATGGTAAAGATTGATAAAACTACATACTCAGGTTAGTAGCCTCTTATGGCATGCCAAGGTCAAGCCAGACAAAAAACACTGGAACAAATGTTTACTAAATGCAATACATAAATATACAATTATCCACTGAATGTTATCCTCAAAATATGCAGAGCTAAGCCTGATTAATAAGCGATGATGTATTAAATCAAATTCCCCATGATAAACATATGTGGAAAAAACACATCAAAGTTACAAAAAATACTTTGAGCAGCACTCTGTAGAGAAAAGAACATAAGACTTGGAGACTGAGAACCTGGGTTTTGAATATATTAGCTCAGCTGCTTAAGATGCCTTAGTGATGCTTTGGGCCTGAGTTTCCTCATCTACAAAATACTGGGGAATATTGCATGGTAGTTAAGTCATTGAATTTGGATTCAGGAGAACCTGCCTTCAAATACTGCCTCAGACATTTATTAACTGTGTGTCTCCAGGTAAGTCACTTAACATCTCTCTGCCTCAGTTTTCTCATCTTTAGAATAAGAGCATTGGACTCAATGTCACCTAAGGTCACCTTCAGGCCTAAATCTATGACTAACTGATCTCTAAGTTGCCTTGAAACTCTTAAGACATATATCCAGTAAGAAATTTCATGATACTCATAGAAGAATAATATCTAGAATGATTTGGTTTCTTCAATATGATGTTAAGGTCTAGAAGCTTTTGTACAACAACTTTTCCAGTCATATCTTCCACAAATGACATCATAAGAGATATCCCTGATTCTACAAAGATACATGGATACAAAGGATAGTGTCATGGAGCCCTGTTCTTATTTGAAGCAATTACATTTATGACCTAAAGTTTACATGTTTGTTTCTCCATAAATATGAGATGAACACTTGGCATAATTGCCAGATATTGTGTATAAATTATGAAAGGTGTGTAAATGTATGTGTGTTTTCATGGAGAATATCAAACTCTCCTCCAACCTGGAGGAGGAATTGACAGTGACAAGGCTAAAATCTAGTAGAGAGATAAAGGTAACAGAGTAAATTAGTGCTGTAATAGCAAATCTAAAGTCTTAGGCTAAGTAAGGGACGCTTTATAGTAATATCCTAGTTAAAAATCACTCTTTCAGAGTCTAGATTTATATGTGTCTGTGTAGTTATCCTAATATTCTTCTTTCACTGGACATACCAATTTACCCTTCCTATAATTATCAATTTGAAAAGTGTGTTGAAATAGAGACTTTAAGGCAGCATTTTGCCCTATCCATTCAAATTATTAAAATAATTAATAAAAACTCTGGAATTGTGTGTGTGTGTGTGTGTGTGTGTGTTTACTTCTCTTATTCAATGGTGTGGTAGCAGAATCTTGCCTGTTCCCTAACAAAAATCCCATTGAGGACACCTCTCAATACTTTTGTAGTTGATTCTCTTAAAATTTGTTATATAGATGGGAAAATAGACATATAAATCAGTGATTATTGATATATTCCTTTGCCATTTGGAATATTATTTAAGTCCAAGATCCTCCCTCCCCTTTGGTATTTTTCCTTCCTGCACATAACTTGTGAATTGTTCTCTTTATACTCACACTGTTGTTTCACCTCCAGTTCAAATTTCCTCTAGATATCCTTTTTTTTCTCTAATGCAAATGCTTTTTGTACATTTGTTCTCCTTAGTGTCATTTCTACAAGCTATTTAGTATTGTAATATTAGTGATGGCTCTGCTGTCCTTGATGGTGAAATAATGTTTGCTTGGAAAATCTTTTCAGATCTTTTTCATTTTTCTTCTTTTTGTTGTCCTTCCACTTGCATTTGCAAATGCCCTTGGGATGACTGCTTAATTGTTTTGCTCCCTAAATTTTCCTTAAACTAGTTTTCCCTTCACTGCTTGTGTTTTATGTAATGAAACTTTTTACACTCTTCTGTCATCCTATTCTATAAAATTTTTACAAATGACTTCATATTCTA